TTTAATATAAAGTTATTAAAGTTGAAAAAACAACGACTTTTACACGGGGTTTTTCACACGGTCAACAGTTCGTCGCTTGCTCTCGCGTAACTAACCCAGATAATTGATATATTTTAGCTACTAACTGAGCAAAGAATAACATTGTTTATAAAGAAATTTCGTAAGCGACGCATAGTCTTACTTTGCGATCTTTTTGATGTTTTTTCCTTCGCACATACGAAAACTTTGTTAATATATCAAGCAACGCGAACGAAGTCACAGGTATCAGCTAGTTAGAAATAAAATGTGTCATTCAGGTAGCAAAACGGTCTCCCTTTCGATAAGCGGCATTCCTAGAAAACATTATGTGTTTATGCTGAATTATAACAGAATATGCATTCTTATGACTTACGCATATAGGCGAAAATTCTTTGCTGTTTTTAAATAGAAAGTACTTACAGCGATCCTTGAGACGGTCTCGTCACATGACTCTTGGCACATATCAACTGTAATTTTTATCAATCGAAAAACTCCTTATCAACTTTGAGATGTCAAAGAACAATAGACTGTAATGCGAACTAATTGAAACCAAAACAGATTTCAATAAGAATGACTTTAAATGCAAATTCTCAAATATTGTTCTAAATGTCATAACATTTAAAGATATTTTGCAGTCTATTGAAAAGTATCTCAATGCAAATACTTGTCTGAGATTTGAATGTCTGAGACAAAGGCAAATTGTTTTATTACGACGAACTTCGTGTTCATTTATGTATATGGTAATAAAACATAAATTATTTATTACGAATTTGAGAAAGTTTTAAATAACGAATTTGAGAAAGTATTATTTAACCACAAGCACAGCACTGTTCGGGTGCCAACGGGTGACGGTGAAGCGGGTTCCCAGCCAGGGATAGTTGTCATCATCATCATCATCATCACCATCATCATCATCATTATCATTATCATTACAGCCTATATGCCAAAGTCCACTGCTGAATATAAGCTAACCTTAGATTGCCTCATAAGGGGACAGATGCCACAGTTGTCACCCTGGGTTGACAATCGCAGATTTTACATAGTAACTAATTTCTGATAAGAACTCATTTTAATGCAGTGGTGGTGAAAGACAACCCTCTCTACAATTCTGTTATAGAAAGAAAGAATGAAAGAAAGAAAATAAATTTAATTATTAACACATTATAGCAATTTGGTCACAGCAACGACGCTGATCTTCGGTGGGTGCTAATGAAAAATTTAACTAAATATAAATGTAACAGTATTCATCATTATACATAGGTTTTTACGTGGTAGAGCCATGTTAAAGCTATATTACTTGTATAGTTGAAGCACGAATGGGTTGGCTGGACTGGGAAAGGACCACGCTCTCACACTTGACGCTGCTGTGTTTTGTTTGGCAAGTCTAGAGAACCGGAGACCCTGTTTTCTCGAAACGAGGCATTCCATCTTAGTCCTCGCGGGTGACAACGCATCTGCATTTTGATTCATATTTGAGGATAGATGTAGATGTCTATGGGCTACAGCAACCACTTACCATCAGGTGGGCTGTATGCTCGTTTGTCACCCTTATCCTATAAAAAAAATACAATGATTCATTATCATGCCGCCACTACTCTCTTGACACAGGTTAAATATAACGCTACCTATTGGAATACATGAGACTCTTCATTTTCCGTAGTCGCCTCTCTTCCTATATCGATGTGATGATATGGGGTGAAGGATTTTCTTACGCCATCACCACACCATCCTTACAGGCTAAATGAATTAAAAATAAACTAAATGATGAATCACGTTGATCCAAGCTAGTAATCAAGCAATAGCTCGTACTCTTAAATTGTACAGTAAAATGCAACTTTCGACAACCGTGACAACGAGTGATGCCATCCGCAACGGCATAACTTCACTACGACAATGAAATATGGCCGCGAAAGATATTTACTGACGTTGAGGCTAATAAAACACCTTTCAACACTTTTTCAGTTTAATTAGAAAATGTTACAGCGGATTTTAATTCAAATACAACTACTCATAACTCTCTTAGCTAAGCGCACACCGTAAATCTTACAGTACGCGTGGAACCCAAGTTCGATCCCCGCCCTGCCTTCCTTTTGATAATTTGTCTAAATATTTTTCACACACCATTCGTTAGATAGCTCGCCTGATATAAAAATATTCATCATCATCATGATTATCATCATTATTACAGCCCTTCACAAGCCCATTGCTGAACAGAGGCCTCCCCCAAAGACTGCCTCAAAGCACGGCCCTGAGCGACCTGCATCTAGCCTGCATTTTTTTTAAAAGATAGGATGATAAACGAGCTCACAGTCCACCTGATGGTAAGTGGTTGCTGTGATCCATAGACATGTACATCTATCCTCAGTAAAGACTCAAAATGCAGATGCGTCGTCACCCGTGCGGAATAAGATAGAATGCCTCTTTTCCAGTAAAATGGGTCTCCGGTTCTCTACACTCACCATACGAAACACAGCAGCATTAAGCTGCTATTTTACGCTGGTATTCTGTGAGAGCGTGGTCCTTCCCCGGTCGAGCCGACCCATTCGTGCTACAACTATACTACTAATATAGCTGCAGCATGGCTCTACCACGTATGCCGTATGATAAATCCTATGAACCGGAGATCTTTTTTGATAGTACCAAAGCATTCCATTCATCCTTAGGGGTGACAACGGAACGTGCGGGACTCGAATCCGCGGTTCTCAACGCCGTAAGTCAATGCTATGCGATCCGCCGTAAAATTGAAAAAGCTTCATACTTAAGTAGGCTCTGTACTTTCATTAATGACCATAACATGAATAATACCGCGTTAAGTGTGTCATACTTTGAGGAAATTTGCTCTAAAATTAAATACACATGCAATGCAGTCAAATTCACATACGTTATCTTAAATTAATCCATATAAACACTCGTTTTACTAAAAAAAAGACCTGATTGTAGCGACTTTCACTTAAAGCATGAGCCTGGACCACTTAACCCAACATAATATGCAAAGGGCAATGAATTGATCTTGTTTTCGCTTCTTCTTAATAAATGTAAGTGAAAATCAGTTAATTTTTTTAACATTTACATATATATACCATAGTAAAAAAAATTCCTTAAATTATAATACAGTTCTACTCCCTGCGGTATGGCGCCAAGAAAACTAGCTGCGTTTCCATGAATGGCGTTAATTCGAATTTGAGCAAGAAAAGAACCAGCCTTTTTTATCACCAGCGGCGATTACCAGTCGCGAATACAGTTCCTCCAGAAATTTCACCGCACGTGGACCCCACGGGCCGATAGTCTCATCAGCAAATGGCATAAATATGTAGTCATCTCTCACAGACTTATATCAATTTTCTTTTGGGTAGTGAGCATAAATACAACATGAGTTTTGATTGAGATTCTGCATTACAACCCTTCACAAGTCTACAGCTAAACATGGGCTTCTCTCAAGAAACGCCACAGAGGACGGTCCTGCGCCCACTGCATCCATCGACTTCCTGCATATGGTCTGGTCGTCACTCCATCCGTCATCGCCCTCCGCCTTACGGTATTGAGTATCGATTATATGCCGATGTCTAGTTTCATGTTTACGTCATATTTTAGGTTACATAAGTAATATTATCATAACGAAAAAAAGATAACACAGTTGCGAAGTGATTACCAACGGCAAATGATTCCCATCATGTTACACAATCGCACTGCCGTACTTCTCTTTTTTTTTGTTTATTGTTTTTATTAACACAAATACAACACATTGATCGTGCAGTAGCGGTGTAAGGATAGCCACTACCCCATATCGTGTCCTGGGTTTTGTAGAGGCGACAGAGGGAAACAAACCAGGAGATGGGCACCGCCTTCCTAATAATAACAAAAAATGTGTGCGTGGCAACTATGGCAATTATCACCCCTATGCGGCAATCTACAGAAGAGATTCAGAAGTGAACTTTTTATAGGCAGTAACTGTAATCACACACGCAATAAAACTAAAACGCGATTAAATCCGTAGAAAAAGTTTCATTCAACAACCAATTATTTAATGAACGCATACAAGAAGACACCACTAGATGGAATGACGCCCTGGTAAGACATGCAGGAAGTCGATGGATGCCTGTTGATGGAGCTTTTGAAATCGGGGCTTTCATTAAGAAATTATTTTATTATTTTTAGTATTATAGAATAGAATAGAATATCATTAAATATTATTAGATAGAATTCTTTTTAGTTCTTTAAAGTCTGCCTTTTTTATTTAAGGTTTAATTTCCTCTAAACGGCTTCAGTAGACCATTCTCGTATACAAAATAAGTTTATACGGTTTACATCGTATATTGAAGATTTATACAAAATATTCTTATTAATTTATATACCTAATTATAGCCCCACGCAAACCTATTCAATTTCCCAGACTGTAGCAAATCCTTAAAAATGCCTAAGTATAATAAAAGGTGTACAGCATTAAGTGTGATGGTAGGCAAACGCGGTGGTAGTCTTAACCCTCTACACTACTCGCGAAGTAGATTGAAGTTGGGCAAGATAGGTGTAAAGAGGCTTCGCCTCGGGCGACTTCCGATCGCTGTCGGTTTTTGCGCCCGAGTCAAAGGACTTCGCGAAGTACCACGAAGTTACACGAATCGTCTCACTACACTATTGGGCGTACGCCAGTTATATATAAATATGTAGCTTTCTACATAATTATTTATCTATGGTTAACGCATTGATGTCGTACTGTTCACACAATTAGGTGCCTATAGCAGCTACCTATTGAACGTTATTCATGTTAAGGGTGCGGGCGGCTCAAGACGACTGAGCTCTTCGCGAAGAAGCACGAGTGTGTAGTCACGTTCTTCGGACTGCGATCGACTTCGACGAGCACTTCATCAAAGTTACTTCACGAATAGTGTAGAGGAGGCATCACTAACCCGTACCCAACGTAACGATTGATCCCATATGAGATATATTAACGTTTCGTAGTTTAAGATATTTAATATCAAACTCACCTTTTTCCCATCGCGAAACTTTACAGTGCCCTCGATAATCGAATTGGCGGGACTAGAGTCCGACATTTTGTTGTAAGATCACGTGACGCGACCACAGCGCCGCTGCGGCGGCATCATGCACTAGCACATTATCAGTCGTACCATACTAGAACAACTCGTTGACCGGTGAACCTGTAACAAATGAAGGGTAGGGTTACAGTTTTGTTTGGGCTATATCAATTAAAGAAGTTTAAGATTTAATTGTTTTGTTATTGAGCATAGTTGAACCAGTGACTTATTAATAAAATTGTTAATAAAAGGTAAAAATCGACTTCAACTAACAATTAACAAACAAGAGTACATAATAATTTTCACACAATAGCTTCTGAAGTCAGGGGTTTTATTCTTCGACATGCTACATCTTATCACCAACCTTAAAAGCTGTGAGAATTATTATATAATTTTTTAGTTTTTGAAGTGAGTTTACTTTTTATAAAAATATAATTTCTAGTTTTAACACTGATTTGAAAAAACCTATATAAGACTTGTAAGAAACAACGGGACTTCTTTTATAGTAGCAGTTTAATAAAGCAGTGTATTTATTCATTGTAAAAATCTTTTTAGAATCAGCTTGACAGCGATCACTTTCCACTGGTATTCGGCCATGAAATCATCTTAATTTGGTAATATCACTTTTCATAGTTTGTTAGTTTTGTTGTGCATGTAAAAGATGCGCCCACACTTACTAAGCTAGCCTGCCGTCATGCCGTCACTTTAATGAAAAGAATAACGTAAAAGAGCTTTTAAAAATGTAACAACACCACTGCGTCTTGTGTGGTAACTGAATTTGTTGCAGCAATTCTGATTTGTTAAACTTAATCTGATCCACACGGTGCGGCAGCGAAGACACATACGGTGCGGTTACGGTACGATTACGGTAACCATCATGTCTGAGAAATAAAGTAGGATATTTTCTAAATTATATAGGAAAATACTGAAACTTTAAAAATAACTCTAGTAGTGCGATTGTATAAATCTGATGAGAATCATTTGTCGACTGAAATCATTCCACAACTACGAAATTTATTTTTACACTAAGACAGCATTAAATGAAACTAATTTTACGGATTTTATCACGTTTAGTTTTAATATTTTAATTCGAGACGTTTCGGGTGCTTTACAGTATGCAGTCTGTGAACATATTCAACATCGTCCCACAAATCCTCGCAAAAGAACACCGATTCCTAACACGGATAATTCGCAAGGCTATTGAATTTAAAAAAGACTTACGATAGAGAAGATGGATTAGTGCTACCATTTGCTTGGGATTCTATAATTAATAAAATTAAATCCACACCTAAGCATACCACTGCAAAACTTTAAGATACTGTAAGCTTGTTCTGCGTAGATCGGACCAAAAATTTATATTCAATAATTTAAAATTAAAAATTTTGTACAGCCGACTGCAATATAAGTTATTTAAGAATAACTCAATAACCATTGGTCTGACCTTGATCAAATTCATATGGAACCACACGAGAACTATCAGCTTTCATATAAAAAAAGAATCATCGAAATCGGTTCACCCAGTAAAAAGTTATGAGGTAACACACATAAAACAAAACACAGTCGAATTGAATACCGAGTCTCCTTTTTGGAAGTCGGCAGAAAAGTCCACTGTTCAACATATTATGCCTCTCTCATTATTTACGTCCTATGGGGGATTTTGCCATAGTTGCCACGCCTACAAGCAGTGTGGCAACCGCAGTTAGATTAATTGCACAGTCACACAATAATATTTCTGGATCAAACTTTGTTTCATTAAGACAACCTTGAAGTACTTTAGTACCTAAGTAAATTTACTTGAAACAGAAACAGACTTAAATTTAATCATTGCGTAAAAACAAAATCATCAAGCACAACCGCTTGATTGTGCTTGATGATTTTGCTCGCAGCCATCCCTGCCAGTGCCCGTCAAGACGTCTTAAGTTTTAAGGTTTAGTACTAAAACACTTTCCTTCTAATTCGCTCATAAATTATTTTTATAGTAGTTAAGTGTGACAAACGACCACACAGTCCACCTGATGGTAAGTGGATGCTGTGGCCTGTAGACATCTACATTTATCTTTAACTAAGAATCGAAATGCACATGAGTTGTCACCTTTGAAGACTAAGATGAAGTGATTGTTTTCAAGTAATAAGGGTCTCCGGTACTCTATACTCACCATACGACACAGCAGCATCAAAAGGAAAGAAGGCCTACGTCCAGAAGCCTGGTGTATAAAAGTAAACGATGACCTATTCTGTAGCGAAGGATATTTTTCTTCCGATTTCCAAAAAGGAGACGGTACTCAATTCGACGCGTATGTTTTTTTTATGTGTGTTACCTCATAACTTTTTACTGGGTGAACCGATTTTGATGATTCTTTTTTTATTCGAAATCTGGTACTTCTCGTGTGGTCTAATATGAATTTGATCAAGGTCTGACCAATAGTTTTTGAGTTATTCTTAATAACTTATATTGAAGTCGGCATTACAAAATTTTTAATTTTTAATATTTTAGAATAACTAAGTAATGTAATTATTAAGGTCTGCATTAACATGGGAGAATTTTAGTGAACACTGCCATACTGTTAGAGTTCTCACGTCTGTCTCCTTTATTTATATTTAAAGCGCTCTAAGTTAATAATTCTTAAACACAGACATCTCTTTGAAGACTTAGTCTAACAAGCACAACTTCGGACCCAATACTTAAACGAGTTCCCTGGGTACCGTACGGAGCGTGCGCCGAAATATTGTTTCGGATTCTGCAAACTTTTGCACCTTAATCCGCTTAAATTGAAATCAATTTAAGCCTTACTGCGTAAAATATTAAAGCTATTTTGTTTAACTCTTATAACGATCCCGCTTTGCGTTTAACGATCGTAGATTAAGGTAAGGCTGTTTCAGTAATAGGCGAGCTTTGGACGTCTTCGTGGCGCAGTGGCTTAGCACTGAGTTGTGGCAATGAGAGCCGCGGGTTCGAATAACGCACGGAACATATATTTGTATGGTGTACAAGTAATTGTTCCGGGTCTGGATGTTTGTCCTTATGCAATTTATGTATGTAAGCTGCCTCTACAATGCAGGACAAAATCCTAGTGTGGGGATAACGAATAAAAAATTAAAATGGATGAAAAAACAAAACGATTGCAAACTATATTACTCATACAGCCTATAATCATTATAGGATATGAAAGTCCACGGCTGAATATAGACCTCCCTCATAGATTTCAATAAGAGCGATTTCGCTATAGTTGTCACGCTTGGCAGGCAGGTTGGCAACGGCAGATATTTTTAATATTTTTAATTATCAGGAAGATGTTGCTGCTTCTCTCCTGTTTCAGTTTCCCTCTCTCGCCTTTTGGGTAATTATTTCGTTTGGTGTAAATCGGATGTCCGGGTGAATTTCTCCCGTAAATCTAAATTGGATTTTTACCGTGCCATACCATATATATAGTACTAAATGTACCGTAAAAGGAGTATTTATACATATTGGACATTCTATAATTAATCTTGTATTTTGTTATCATTAAGGAGTCAAAACGTCACTACCATGTGTGTCCCATATAACATTTTCATCACTATTTCAGCAAAAATGTCATATTAAACGTATGTTTGTAAGCTGAAGTCACTATTTAATATAAAGCTTAATAATCATTGCTAATATCTTAGATTTAACAAATGAAATCAAATTGAAAGCGACATAATAACAACATCGTAAATATTGTCCTAAGCGAAAACAGTCATTCCCGTGTCAGTTCATGTCACGATATGTAGTACATCACTCAAAAGCTTTATATAATTTCTGCAACTGCCCCGCGCACCTCCCAGTCACCGCGCAGCCGTCATAGAAAATGCAAGTCGCTCATCTTGATTGATTTAAAATAAAGTGAAGAAAAAGACTGTTACCGTGGTTTTTGTCACAAAAAATTGTCTATATTGTGGGTCTACTTCCTGGGTAAGTACACAAAATATTAGGATATGTTTTATTTTCCCTAATTACTTAACCATTTTGTTAAGACGTAACCAACATATCATATTCCGGAACATTAACAGTGCAATGTTAAGCGAAAATTATCGGATTTTATCATTACCATGTTTGTCATTACCGTGGATTACCGTGGTTGTTTTAAACCACGGTAATGATGACGATAACATGATAATGACTTCCTTTGTTATTTTATACTCTATTGACAGAATACATATAATACATAAGTAAATATTAAGTTTTTTTAGACAATTATTGATTGTAATTAGTGTGTAATTAAGCATTGTATATTATATACGCCAATTTTGCTTATTCTAGACAAATACATAGACATGCCACGACGTAACAAGCAAATAAATAGAAAAGAGGCATTAGAAAAACGCTTATCAGGACTAAAAAGGCGCAACAAAATAAAGTTTAACTCCGAGTTATACAAAGAATACTTAGAAAAAGAAAAAGCATGCTATATTAGAATAAACGATACTAAAAAAAGGTACCAATGAAAAAAAACCAAGGGAAAAGAGGGCACAGAAAAAAATGAAAGATAAATCAAGAGAATTTAAGAAGAAAGAAAAGAACTTAAAATGTTATAAGAATAGGATACACCTGCTGAATCAGATTCTGTAGATTGCCTGTATCAAATCTATGAATTGTAACAAGAACATCGAGATGAAATTACAAAAACTTCTGCTCTTACAAGATTAGTCACCGAGAATTATGCGTCAGATGATCCATGGAGTCATCATAAACTTGGACCGTCTTTAAACACGTCGTTAAACAAAGGCGATAAAACTCCTGCCAATCGAATACTAGTTACCAAAAATAGTACATCAATTCCCTCTTCAACTCCATGTAGAGTTCGCTATAGAATGCTAAAAAAATGTAAATTCCATCAAAATGCCTCATTCGTATAAGCAAAAAGTCTGAACAGTCCAGGAACAAAGGCAGAAATGATGATGGCAGACCCCATCAAAAAGGAAGATGTTGAAAAAGCCATAATATTTGACGATATTTTAAAGAGTAACATGAAATCAAGATTTTGAGAACTTGAAAAAGGGTGAAAAACAAAAGCTCATAAAGAATATAGAAACAAAACACGAGATATTGAAAAAATATAATTTACTTAAAGAAATGCCTAAAATGATAAGGAAATCTAATAGAA